TGTAACCCTAAACTTTTCATACGAAACATTTTTCTCTATCCCTACTAGTTTTCGAGATATTTGACTGGATCACTTCAGATGGTCCACCCTGTATATTAGAGCTTTTTGCTTTTTGTCCGTGAGAGAGGAAGAGGTAATGGAAATGTTAAGCTTTAGGCTTTTTGTTGTTCGTCGGGAATTAAATATAATAGGCAGTTTGCCGTGATGATAAAATTGTAATGTGATAATAAGAATATTAGGCTGTTGCGCCGAGAGTTGAATAATGTTAGGCTGTTCGCCGTGAGAAGTAAAATGTAATGTGAATGATTAAAGAGGCTGTTCGCCGTGATGATGAAAATGTTTTGTGCTGGGATAATTATGTGAAGCGATGCAAAGAGCAAAGATAATATGCGTGGCAGACGAAGATTACCTACGCGTAGTTGAAGCGGGTTTGTAAAAGAAATGAACAATGTGCTACAACTAATAAATTGTGATAAGTTTCCTGCAATTATCAATGTGAGATTATTTGAAACCCTATCCGGCGTTAGTATATGAAAGACCGAAGCAGGCGACTGAGGGACCGCAACGAGACGACCGAAGAGAGCAACTTTCACACAAGGAAATACCTTCTCCTTTGGAGGTTAAAAGGAGTGGCGACCGTAGACAAGTAGACGTGATAGGGCCGAATGGTTAGATAATTGATTTGAGTTCGGTCACAACCTAACCTAAATTTTATCACATCATGATTTTACATAATTCCGCATAAAATGCAATACACCGATTTTGAGTGTGTGTTAAGCCTAATTAATGTCCACGATACTAGAAATCGATCCGAGATCTCAGACCGAAAAAATTAACAAATCACATTTAAACAATTTGATCACATGACCATTGCGATTGGTCAATTCTTTCTTCATCCGAGGTCTCGGACTGATTTCTAGCATCGTGGAGGTGGACACAAGGCTTTATAGTTTTCGGCCCGATCGGGTTTACACCAACCTGGGTTGGATTATGTTACGTCTCGAGGGGACACCGGCCGGCTTCCGGTATCGGCGCTATCCTGAGGCTATGGTTAGAGATCCTATAATCAGAGTTTGGCCAAAGCGGACAAAAGATGGCGGATAGAAGGAGATAACAGATATTGCTTTCTTTCTCGTATTACGCATGCGCAGAAAGCGTGAAGAAAGCTGTCACAAAATAGGTTACGGCAGGTCATGGTGATATGGTTAAGGATCTCGTATTGTGACAAATAAATATTCTATGATAAATAAATATAAATTATCTTTTTATGTATATTATGAAACTTTATGTCCACCTTGTTAAAAATCACTCTAAAGTTTTAATAATTTTCTTTATCCGGGATCTCGGAACAGTTCCTAACCTCTTTGAGACAAAGCTTTACTCGTCTGGGAGTCGATTGTGTATCTTGAAATGAGGTGAAAATTACAAAAATGAGCAAATTCACTATGTACTGGTCAATTAAATTATCAATATTCTAATGAATTTGCTCACTTTTGTCCCCTGATTAGAGCTATCTGTCTCTTTCTATTCTTCGAACTCGTTTTCCGACAATGTACGAAGCTATCCGAAGAATACCGAATGGACAGAAGTAGAGAACCAATACCAAACCAAACCAATACCAAACGCTTAGACTGCATCAACGCATGAAACGCTTTCACTGCCTCACTCAAGTCGAAAGAGAAGCAGTCAATGCGCTGGGAGGAGTGCTAAGAATTCAGTACGGTTAGTACAATCTGGGGAATTCAAGTACTCTCGAAGCGCTTTCGAAGCGCGCAATAGCTAACTCGGAACGACTTTCTATGCAGTCTACGCGCTTCATGCGTGACTCGGAACGCACCCA